CATCTCATGGCAGTGTTAGGTGGTTCGGAGCCAGGTCGCATCATATATATATATATATATATATATATATATATATATATATATATGTATGTATAGACAAATACAACAACCACACATAAATGCACCAAAATATACACAAATACACATAGAAATACACAGATACATACACAAAATATATATTATACATATCTTAAATAGGAAAACAAAATTTATATCACCTATATTGGGCTGTAATGTATGTTTTTTGGTGGATAAGGATGGTGGTGGCGGTTCTCCGATGGTATTCCGACCATAGTCACTTTTTTTTGGTAGAAATCTAGAAATTCGGCAAGGGCTTTGAAAATCCATACAACACCATAAAAAATTAGTCATTGGGGAAAGGAGAAGGGAAAAAGAGAAAACACAAAGAACCTTACCTCGATCTTCGTCGGAAAAAGGGTGTTGTCGCCTGTAACGGTGGTGTCGTAGTCGGTATAACACTTTGGTGGTCGTCGATATAGCATTTTGGTGGTCGCTTGGAGTGGCGGTGTTGGTATTTGGCATCGATCGGAGAAAATGTGCCTAAATCGCCGGAGAAAATATGATTGAAATGGAAGCAGAAAACGAAGAAGACAGACAACTAGTTCGGGAGTTATCTCCGCAGAGGCGATAGCGGCGATAATAGGCAATTGTGGCGACTTGGTGGATGGAAACTAGACGTGGGTTTTTTTTCTGATTATTAGCAGCGACACTTGTCGCCAGTATTGGTGTCGCAACTATTTATGTTTGCGAAACAGACATCCTAGCCTTTGGATTGGAGACATGATCGAACGGATAGGGTTTACTTGAAAGGATTAACGCGGATCATGGTCTTTTGGAATTAGCGTCAACGCTAATAACGACGACAACCACTATTAGCGACGAAACCAATTACTATCGTCGCTATAGCGGTTGTCGCCGCTATTGGCGTCGACGCTATTAATGCCATTATTTCTTGGAGGGAATCTTGTCTCTCATTTCACACTCACATTCTCTGATACTCTTTTATATCTTCTATCTTGTTCTTTGTCGATTATGGTTTTCTTATCGCAAAGTTGTAAAGAATTTTTTTTTAGAAATCATTAATTATGTGACAAGTATATATTGTAATTTTTTCTTATTAGACATGTGTTTGAGTTGATCATTTCTTTATTTTCTTTTTCTGATTCAAAACTGGTTTCTGATTTTTGTAAGATTTTTGTTTATATTTTGAATGAAAGTGTATTCTTAAGTCCACCTTTTTTTTTCTAGAATGTAGAGCTAAAATTAGTTGGTTGCACCGTAAATATTCTTCCATCATTTTGTTATGGGATTCATTGTCTTAGTTTTCAAACTTATTTTCCGTTTGCTTTACTGGGAATACGTAATAATAGGAGGAGAATCTGTATATAGCATGCTTGTTCTACAGTAATGGATGAGAAGAAAAGCTAATTAAAAAACACATTATTTATATAAAAATAACTCAATAATACAAACTTGTATTATTCACAAAATGATAAAACTTCCAGCAAAAGAACACCACATCCTAACAGCTCGAATGGACCATTGTCAAAAACAGCCACCTGGTTCCATTCACATTGTAGTCGTACTAGCTAGCTATAACATGAAATCTTCAAACTCAAAGCTTTCTGGAATCTCAAATTTAAACATGCTGCAGTAAGTTTCTCTGTCATCCTCAGTGGAGCTGCTGTTGACGAAAGTTGATGATGAGTTCAGCGGCGTAGGACTTGACATGGGTGTTGATAAAACCGAATCAAAGTTGAAGTTCTGGCTTGTAGGGTTGTATTTATTTTCTACACTTGATGGCTCGAAACTCGAGGTCTCTGATGTCTGTGCCCTATATTGATCACTTTGCGTTTGGTTTGGAATGGTAACAAGATCATTCGATATGCATGGGGGCATGAAATTTCCATCAACAACTTGGCCATTCATGTTAACCAAGTTTGGTGAAAAATACTGATCACTGTGACTCTCTTGATTCAAAAGCTGAGTACTTGGAACACTTGTTGGAATGGAACTGCAGTTTGGAAGCTGATGATGAAGAGTTTGGTTCATAGGATTGATTTGGTTATTGAAAAACAAATCTTGGTTTTCTTGATTTGAGGATGTGGCTAATAGAGTGGCAAGCCTAAGGACTTCGGGATTTACAAGCGTATGGAGGTTCAAAAGGTTTGAGAGATTTAGTTGAGCTGAGTTGAGTATGGAAGAAAGGTCCATGAGTTCGAGACGAGGACTATGAGTCACTGGATCGATTCCATTTCTGAGTAGCCTCTTGCGAATGTGGGTGTTCCAGTAGTTTTTGATTTCATTGTCGGTTCTTCCAGGTAAACGAGCAGCAATTGCTGACCACCTATATAATTCAGGGAACTATGAGATAAGAACACAACAAAAGTTCAATCGGTATTTAAACAAGTGAAAAAGTTAATATTATTCTTCTATAATCATCGATTTCCGTATATTTATGAGCCAAAATGATTAAATCATTCCGTTACAAATTTGTTTTTTAAAATGATCAAAACTTGTGGCGCAAACCATCACTATTGAACTGGGTATCATTTTTTTGAGAAGATTATTCGAAATCATGGAATCATTATTCTATAATGATGAATATTTGAAAGGTAAACTTACTTATTCCCCAGCATACTGTGTAGTTGAATGATAGTTTCTTCTTCTTCAAATGAGAATCTTCCTCTTTTGATATCAGGCCTCAAGTAGTTTGTCCATCGAAGGCGACAACTTTTTCCACATCGTTGAAGTCCTGTGTAGATAAAAGGGTTTCTTTTTTAGTGAAAAGAAATCTATATTCGTTCATCCAATTGATCATAAAAGAAAAAGGAAAAGATCAATTAACGAATGCATCGAGACACTTACCAGCGTTCTTGGGAAGGGTTCGCCAATTACCAGGTCCATGAAGTTGAATATATTCCATGAGTTTGAGATCCTCCTCTTGTGTCCATGGACCTTTCTTCAGTCCATTTTTATCACAACATGGTGATCTTCCCATTGCTCAGTGTTCTATCAGTGAGTTTCTAGATGATCTTGAAACAGAAAAGACCGAGTACCAGAGAGAGAGAGAGAGAGAGAGAGAGAGAGAGAGAGAAAAAGGGAAAGAGACGTGTTGAATAGAAAGATAGAAGATTAATAAGCTAAAGAGAAAAGTGAAACTTGTAGGTCCAAAAGGAAGATGACTTATCCCATATATATATAGATGAAGCGGACTCATGTTGCAATAGTTACGAAGTCAATATGATTTGGCGCCGGCCTGTGATCTACAGTCAACCTCTCTCTATCTCTTTGTTTGTATTAGGGTGAAAAGTTGAAAAATGGCAAAAAGCTGGAGATAAAATGACATGGAGAGGATGTAAGAAAATGAAGGTAATGTATGATTGGACATGGATGACAAATGTCGAGTTTTTGATGGAATTGACTTTTTGTTTACGTTTGACCTTTAAAAAATGATGATTTTATGGTGGGTAAGGTTGTTATATCCTCTACCAGTTGAGATGAAATGTTTCCGTGGTTTCTTCTTCTTGCTTCCCACGAAAAATACGTTTTGGATTCGTTTATGGAAAGGAGAGAAGTCACTGTTTGTTTGACGTTTGAATTTCATCACTATGGACCCATTAATTATACCTCGACGTGTCAACTTTAATATACCTTTGATACCCATATTGAGACCACACATTTTATAAGCATTATGTGGTTTGAACTTTGAATGCAATAAAGAAAATAAGTAAGTCAAGTTTATATATGTTTCTTAGTAAGAAAATCTATTAAACCTCATCGTAGGCTATAAATTATCATACGTAAATTGTAGAAAAATGGAAGATCAAAGTAAATGTAAAGATCATGAGTATATGTTAAGATTGTCATAAAACTTAAAACCAATGAAAATCCATATATTGTAATGCTTGTAACTTGTAAAATAGAACATTCAGATGTAGATACTCTTTCCATTAAAAATACCAAGTTAATAATTTTGATCTGTTACACATTCTTTCGTGAATTTTCTATCCATTAGGTTCCCATGTTCATGTAGTGATTAGGTGGTCAATTTTAATATCTTAATCTTAACATTAGTTTTTCGGATTTCCCTGATGAATTAGACATTTTTTTATAGAATCCATTATAAAACGAAGCTCTCTCTCTCTCTCTCTCTCTCTCTATATATATA